TGAAAGAGCTGTTTATAGAGTATCGTTATTATCTGGGATGAGTGGAAAGATTGTAACGTCTCCCATGGCCATGCCTTGTGTGCTGAAAGAGCTGTTTATAGAGTATTGTTATTGTCTGGGATGACTGGAAAGGTTGTAACGTCTCCCATGGTCATACCTTGTGTACTGAAAGAGCTGTTTATAGAGTACCGTTATTATCTGGGATGAGAGGAATAATTGTAACGTCTCCCATGGTCATACCATGTTTGCTGAAAGAGCTGTTTATAGAGCATCTGTAATATCGTTTGAAAGGATGTATCCCATGTATGCTAGGATTCAAGACAAGTGGGCGTGAAGCTCACTCCATTCGACTAATTGCGTCTTCTCCAAGGAAGTGTCTACCAGTTGAGAATGATGGAGAGGGATTATCATGCATTAGGTTAATGTCAAGGCCTATTCGACTAACAAAAGTTAACTCAAATCGCCGAATAATAACATAGGGAGCGAACCAATGGGAAGCAACTTTAGGATATGAGGACTGGTACATTTACCAGTGCTTATTCCTGTACATACCATGTTTCCTACACTGCCACGTTCTTGTATGAAAATGGGATTGCATCTGGTTCCAGCTTTTCTGAAGGAATATTACCTATTTTCTGGCTAGATTATCTGTAAAACAAATATTGCCCTAAATTTCATCGGTCTATTAGACACTGTTGGGAGCACCATTAGAAGCAAGCTGTTTTGTTTCTTGCTATAAGTGGAATGCACCTCATTGGTCGTCTGAACTACATACTGGTCTTATGAAGTCTGTTTCTGTCTGCAGACTGACACGAAGTCCTGATTTAGTCTGAGATTGTTGTAAAGTTGGTTGAGGTGGAAATTATATTCAAATAAAGGTAATACATATAATATGAAGTCTGTTTCTAACTGTCTGTAGACTAACACGACGACGTGATTTAGACTAAGATTGAGTTGTAGATGATGGTGTGTGGAGTATCCTCATACGAAATGTAAAGCTGATTCAGGTTTATATTAAATATTGATAATTAGACTAATGTATATTTTTTATCACGTTTTACTTGCAATTAATAAATATTATTTGACATAATGTTACTAATATTTTATGTGATACAACTTCAGAAACTGTATTTCTTCTTACCAATACTTTAAATTTTAGATATTTTTATTTTCTTTGTGTTCATCACAACAGGTAGTCCATCTGGCCATGCCATGGTTTCTGCTGCTGTTTGGTACGTCTTGCTTAATACACTTCTTGAAAAGTCTGGAGTTGTATCTTCAACTAAGTGAGTAATAAAGACAAATCAAACACGTTGATTGTCATGATTCTCATAATTGCTCAGTTTTTCTTTTTATAATTTCATAGAAAATGTCAATTACTCTTTGTCTGATAGAGTCTCTGGAGAAAAAACACTTAAGTTTTTTGTTCGATTATTTACTTCCTCATGGGTGGTCAGCTCCAGTAATTGAAAGCAATATTTTGTTTTAATTTTATATTTTAGCGGAAATGTATACATATGTGATTGTCGAAACTATCAATCTCGGTCCCCAATCACAGCTATTTTTTCAATAAGAGGCATGGTGCTGGTAAGTATAAAACACTTTACATAATCAAATTATTTGAATTTTTTAGTGTTATTGTTTTAGAAACAGCGTTTAAAAACGGTTTGTGTAAAAATGAACTCAGGGACGTGGACATTGACTCCAGTACTAGACATTTTCATATCAGATCATATGAATGGTCAACTGACACTTGGTTTCTATACAAATGAACCCAGGGACGTGAACATGGACTCTAGTAGTAGATATTTCCATATCAAATCACTTGAATGGTCAACTGAAACTTGGTTTCTATAAAAAAAACTCAGAGGCATCATTTACATTATTCAAGAACAGCAATCATGTTTTTCAATACTGAAATATAGAAAACTCCAAATGTTAATTAATTTTCCTGTAAGAACATGTTAACGCCTGTGTGCTGGACGGTTTGATTCCCACAGTAATCTGAAGACATAACCATTGATTTTAATTTTTCAATGAGAATATATACACCTGGAAAAAGTTAAAGCACCCCCC